AAAAAATAAGTCCGTTTGCGAGATTGATATGTGTAATAATAATTGACACGGTTTCAAGAAAAAGCGTACTAGTGAGCGAGAAGGATGAAGTGTTCTAAGTTCATAGGAAACGTTGAACTTTAGGACATGTGGACTTTACGGTCGAGGTGGAACGGGCTTTACGGGTACTTGATGGTGCTGTGCTTGTACTTTGTGGAGTTGGAGGGGTGCAGTCGCAAACTTTCACTGTTAATCGGCAACTGAGTAGGTGAGATGTTCCAAGTTTGATGGTACACAGGGAATTCTTCTCGATTACTTTGGTATTGCTCATAAAACATGCTAATTTGACAATGTTGCTGCTTTTGATCAGTTTTCGGCAAATAGCCAGTTTTGTTTCTTATCTACTCTAACGTTTAAGTCGACGAAACCAAGCTTTGTAAGCAATTTGCCCAATACAATATCTTGAATACAAGCTTGATTGTTGAGGTACTTTGAAGTTACATTTCAAGAATAGTTGCTTTCAGATATCATGTGCCGTTCATCTGTTTTGTCAATAAAATGGACCGAACAGGCGCCTCGGCACTTCATGCGTTAGATGGACTTCGTAACAAACTTAAACACAATGCAGCACTCATCCATCTACCAATTGGCAAAGTATGTAATGCGCTGAAATGCGAAAGTGTTTTTTGTACTAAACCTTGATGTAGGATTCCGGCTTTCGCGGGATCGTCGATTTGATTGAAGAATGCTGTATCTTCAATGAGGGGAAGGATGGCTTGATAATTCGAAAGGACGACGTTCCTAAAGATATGCGCAGTCAAGTTACTGACTTTAGACAAGAAATGATTGGTTCGCATCGTGTTTCCATCAATTTCTAATTTTCACACAAAAAATAGTGTTTCCATAGAACATCTTGCGAACGGAGATGACGCTATGGGAGAAATGTTCCTTAATGAGGAAAATCCTAGTCCAGATCAAATTCACGCAGCTATCCGTAGAGCAGTCATCAAGGTAGTATTTTATTCTATTTTCACGTCTTTGACATGATTTATCTTAGCGGACATTTCTACCCGTTCTTCTTGGTTCGGCATTGAAGAACAAAGGAGTACAAACGATGATTGATAGCGTGGTTCAATATTTGCCCAACCCTAGTGAAGTAATCAATAGAGCGAATGTAAAGGAAGGAAGGTACCAACTTTTTTTTTTTAAAGAATGGCTCTCTACGTTTTTCAAAAGTTATGTCTTCCATAGTTGCACATTATAAAGAGTTTCATCTTCGCTGAAAGGATTCTAGTGACTTTTTGCCTTTCTACAAATTGCTTTGCGAAAATAGCCCTTTTCAAATAAAAGATTTTATTTCTAAAATTTAGCGAAGAATCAACTATAATCTTATCTCCGGAAAGAAATAATCAGAAACCTTTCGTCGGTTTGGCATTCAAGCTTGAGGTAACTGCATCATTTATTTCTCGACGTTTCGCGATTTACAAGTATTCTCCTTCCAGGCTGGTAGATACGGCCAGCTAACATACTTCCGAGTATATCAGGGGCAGCTGAATAAAGGTGATACTATATATGCCTCAAAGGATAAACGTCGTGTACGCGTGCAACGGTTGGCTCGTATGCATGCTGCTGAAATGGAGGTTGAGCATTTTTTTAATCTCCTACCACTTTTTTTTATTAATATCGACAATTCCTCACTGAATATCCGTCATCCTTCTTTGCCTAGTTTCTTCTTACTAATTTTACTAACTTAGGAAGCAGTACATGAAAATTCAGCTCTTTTCCCTAAGAAACGAAGTTAAGGCAACACGCACTGAGCATCAATCTTCACATTGACAACGAATGGTCGCCTTTTGTGATTAAATGTCAACATACCCTAAGGGTAACGTTTATAAAATAGGAATCGGCCGATCGAAGCTGTGACGCTGTCGCATTCTGGTGCTGTAGTCAAATTTCGGTTGGAATGCGATGCATAGCTTTCCGGTGCAACTGCCGAGCTTCTGAAGACTTTAACGCAGCTTAACGGAGTAAGCAAGTCAAAGTTTAAAGAAAAAAGCGCTGAGCTGGGAAAGCCGAATACGCCGAGTTGTGTTCAATTGCTGCGCCGTAACGCAAACGCTTCGCACTCTCTCGAGCAATCCTTATTGCGTATAAACGTTGAAAGGATTGGCCGATTTCTGCGTAAGTATTGAAAATACGCCAAGTGAAATAGCGAACTCTTTTGAAATCTAAAGGTATTTCATCTAAAGGTTCTTAATTTATTACGGTACGTGTAAGCCTGGTATTGAAAAATGTTTCCCAATAATCAGAAGGTTAAAGCTACATAATGCAACCCATGTTAATAATTGATCATTTTCAAAGTTTCATGAGTCGTGCTATCAGAACTTTTAATTTTTGGAAAACAGTGAGAATTTGAACTCAATGTGGAAAAAGTTTATTGAAAATAAAAATTTTCTCTGCAGTGCCTTTTTTCCTCTCTTACTCATTTAATTGAGATGCTTCAAAATAATTATCAGTTTTGCCATTACCATAGTGTAAACATGCGCATAGTGTTTTCTACAGACATCAAAAGATAATGTTGGAACTCAGTAAAAAAAAAACAGAGTTTCTTAGGCCTTCACTGAGCAGTACTCAAATGAAATGAGTTTATAAGCCAAAGATTTTTCTACGACAAAAAACTAATCTTTGATCAAAAAACTAACCCAA